AACCAAACCAAACCAAACCAAACCAAACCAAACCAAACCAAACCAAAAGCAGAGTACAGGGGGTCAGGCTTATGATCCCTCACCCCGACCCCAGCACTTGGGAGGCAGAGGGAGGCAGAGGCAGGCAGATTTCTGTGAGTTTGTGGCCAGCCTGGTTTACAGATTGAGTTCCAGGACAGCCAAAGCTTTACAGAGAAACCCTGTTTTGAAAAATCAAAAACAAACCCCCAAACAAAACCAACAAAACAAAACCAAAACCAAAACAAAACAAAAAAACCACAAACAAGATGATAACAACCAAATCCTAAAAGCATTGTGGTGTAATTTCTCTCCTTGCAAAGGACCAATGAAGTGAACTGTTCACTAAATTGGTCTAAACGGAGTCTAAGAGACTCTATTTCCATTAAAGCTCTTTGATAACAGTGAAGATTGGAAATCCTTTTTGAGATGTAAACTGCCCCTGCCTGGAGGGTAAATTCCTGAGCGAAGCTCAAAAATAGTGACTGACCTTTGCTGTTTAAGTTAACAGGCAGCCATTTACAATTGGGAATTTTACTTTGAATTTCAGGATTAAGTCTTACAAGTTGACATGATTTATGCTTCAAAAGATCTGTATGCTACCTAAACTCTTATCACAAACAGGTAAAGAGCTACTTTCAATAACACCAAAACACCTTTGGAAAGGTTTTTTACAAAGTAAGGTTTTTGGAAAAGAAGACTGAGCAAACTTGCCTTTGAATATCAGGGTAAGGCAGGACAAGTATTCCTCAGCCACTTGATTTTTAATGGTGGAATTTTAGAGTACAGAATTCCTTTGCTATGTCACTGAACTGCAGCTTATCTAAAGTCATTCATATTTGTCCTTGGTGAATATAGAAAATTGAAACTTTAAAATAAATAATTAAGTCATCATATCGAAAGTTCTTTATTCTTAAAATGTTCTGCAAATTGATGGACCATTTAAAACATTTTTTTAGGCTGATAACATGGCTCAGCGGGTAAAGGAGCTGACCACCAAGGCAGACACCCCAAGTTTCAGTCCCAGAAGCATAAGAGAGAACTGACTCTCCCACAGGTTGTCCTCTAGCCTCCACATGTGCCATAAACAAATGTAAAAAAGTTAAAAACAAACAAACAAACAAACAACTATCTTATTTTACCTCCCCCCTGAGGGGGAGGGGGAGCAGCCTTGCCAGGCCACAGAGGAGGACAATGCAGCCTGTCCTGATGAGAACTGATAGGCTAGGGTCATATGGAAGGGGAGGAGGACCTCCCCTATCAGTGGACTTAGAGAGGGGCTTGGAGGGTGGAATTGGGAGGGGAGGAGGAAGGGGTCTATAGCTGGGATACAAAGTGAATAAATTGTAATTAATATAAAAAATAAAAATTTAATTAAAAAACCTATCTTATTTTTAATTACGTTTGTGTGCATTATGTGAATGCAGTAACTGCAGAGTCCATAAGAGGGCACTGGTTCCCCTGGAGCTGAAAGTTAGCAGGAAGTTGTGAGCTACCTGGTAGGTTCAGAGAAATGAATCCATTCCTTTAAGAACAGAAGCATTCCTAACCCTGAACCATGTCTCTAGCCCCAGCCTCAACTTTCTGGATAATAAGACACAATTTAGCAGTATTTTTTTTCCTTTTAGTTTTGTTGTAATTATTACTTCTATTTATTCTATGTTCAAAGTGTTAAGACTTTACAACCTTTTACTGGGCAAACTGGGAACCTAAAATATAGGTAAAATTCCACTTGAGTAAAATTCATGGGCAGTCAAATTTTTACTACTTCAGAAGTTCAGAATGAATGTTATTAGGTATCAAACTGATCAGTCATCACTTTGGTATCTCCTTTCATGAATTAGTAAATAAAATGAACTGATCATAGAAATGTTGTTCTGAAATACAGAGAACAAAGTAGCAAGAATAGAACATTTATTGACTACCTGTAATATCCTAGGAATTTACTATTTTTTTTTTTTTTTTGTTTTTGGCTTTGTTTTAATGTAGAAATCTGTAGATGTACCATAGGTTTATAGTAGTTAGTGCACTTGATATGAAGACAGAAAAAAGATCCAACTTGGGTATATGATATTCAGGTTAGATAGTCCTATGTTCGTGTTATAGAATCTACAATTACATAGGTACAAACTCTGCTTATCTTCATAATTTCTCTATATAACCATGTTTAGTAAGATTGTAGGGCAAAATATGAACTAAGTAGCTATACTTGGAAGTAATGAATGAATATTCCAGTGTAGTTACCAAGATATTTAAATATTTAGATTTCTAAATTTTCAGATAATTAATATAATCAAGTTGAGGTAAGTAAGGATTCTTCCTGCAAACCTTTGAAGGGTACAAAGATCTTCTGACATGGAGTTTTAGCCTTCTGAATGGTGAGAAAATAAATCTGTACTGAAAAATTACCAAGTTTGTGTGTGGTACTTTGTAGCAGTCCTAGAAACTCAACAGTGGGTCAAAATACAAGAAATTTAAAAAGCGGTTATGTTCTTTAGAGAGATGTTCACTATTGATTTTTTTTTTTTTTTTAAATCACTTCTCAATCCTGAATATAGGAATCTCTCAAGGGTTTTGGCTCTCCTACAGTTTCTACAGTCCCAAATCTGTAAATAGCACCAATCCCACCTTTTGATTGCTTTGTGGCCTGACACTGCTTGGTCATATCCAAGCAACATTTACACACAACTGATCTTGCAGATTACTCTTAAAAATGAGGCTCCTACCTTCTCCCACCAATGTTCATATTGCATTTAGATGACAAAATTCTATTTATTTTGTGCCCTTGAGAACAAAAAAATTCACTGATTATCAACCTTAAGATTCATCTGGATTTAGACAATATGCTATGAAAACCCATTACTTAGAATCAATGAATACAACAATAGAAACAATTATTTCATCTGAATACTTAAATCCATTCTTCTCACATACTCAATATTACCAGGCTGTATTGATTCACTATAATTTTAAAGGTTTTAATCTTTTATCTGTTAGAGCAATTGCTCTAACAGATTACTGAGCCAAATCTCATGCATAACAATAGCAAAAGCAAACTAATTTTCCTAAAGTATCTGCGTATGTTAAAATTTTCAAGATTAGCCTATCTGTGGTAAGCAACGCTTGTTGCATGTTCAATATCTACTATGTTTTATTATTGTTGTTGATATTTTTGAGATAGGGTCTTATTATTATTATTAAGCTCTGGCTGGCTTCAAACTCACAGAGATCCATCTGCTTGCACCTGCCTCCCTGATACTGGGGTTGGCTCATGCTGCTACACCCAGCTCTACTCCGGGTTCTAATTCTGTTCAAAGTAATCAGGTACTCAACAAATAATCATTTTCTCAGAGTCTCTATGGCTAAGAAAGATCATGTGGCACAGACTAATACTGGTTTTTAAAGAGCTCTTGGGAAACCTTAATAGTGCACTCGTTGATTACAAGCATCACCCCTTTCTGGAACACAAAGCTCAGGATGAAGTGAACATTTCATAACCACAAAGCAAATAAGCCTACAGCTAAACTGATAAAGATGGTAAATTATAAACATACAAGGAGCCTTGAACATTAACACTGTAGATTCACACTACCAATTCTAGACCTCCTATTCTAGAACATATCACGTAATTAAAAAATAAGATGCCATTTGAAGGGATGTGTTACCTGCAGTTGAATGGAACAAGTGTTTAAGGCTCTCCACAATTTGTTCTTACCAGCTCCTTTGGACCTCCCACTCATTCCCCACTGATTCAAGTATCCCTGCTTCCTTTATCACGTTGCACTAAGTCACTGGTTACTGTAATAAAGACTTTTAACTTGCCTAGCATAGGATCTTTACTCTTTGTTTGTAGTCACATATTGACATATCTGCTTCTTCATTTAGGCTAGTGTCTCCTTTGTTGTAAGAATGATGTCTTCTTACATAGCACTATGTTTAAGAACAATGTCTTCTCTTTACATAGTATCATGTTTGGCACCCTGTTTAAATTTTCAGTCAATATTTTAATATTTTTGCATTCATATATTCAGTGTGTGTGTGTGTGTGAGAGAGAGAGAGAGGAGGGGGAAGGAAGGGAAGGGGAGTGTGAATGAAAGCACGCAAGATCTTTCTTTTTATCAGCGATTTCAGGGTCAAACATAGGTTCTCAGATGTGGCAACAAATGCCCTTACCCATTTTAATAAAGAACAAAACAACTAGCAGTTCCCTCATCACACACACAGGGTCTCATACAACCTAGACTCTGACTATGCAGCTGAGGATGGCAGTGTGCTAGTATTCTCCTGTCTATGCTTTCTTAGTGGTGGGATTACAACCGAAATCACTGTGCTTGGCTTCTCTAACTAGATTTTCAAAACCTGTTTCCTTTTGGATTGGAAAAGCTGGGTGTAGTGATATATACCAGTTAACCCACTACTCAGAAGTCTGAGGCACGAGGATCACCAGTTCAAGGTCACCCTGGAGCACAAAGCAAGACCCTGACTCTTTAAACAAACAAAAGGTAATTCACACTTTTTGTCTGCCTTTCTCCCTTATATCCTGTTGAATTTTGTTCTTCTTCAATGTGTAACTTGTTAAACACACACAAAACCTATAGTGCTAATAATATTTTTTTAAAAAATCCAATCATCTGCTGGGCATAGTGGCTCATACCTTTAATCCTTTACTCTGCAAGCAGAGGCAGGTGGACCTTTGTAAATTCCAGGCCAGCCACGGGTATATATTAAGACCCGGCTGCAAAATAAATAAATAATTAAATAGATTCAGTTATTGTCTTAACTCCCCCCTCCCCATTGATTCCTAAGCACAGGAAATAAAAACTTAAATGTTTCAATTGACTATAAAAACCACAAATACGAGACATTATACCTATAGAGGAAGACTGTGGACTAATCAGAAGGTCCTCTTGCACTGGTTCACTTCCCGGCACTGTCTGCTGATCACTCAATGAGCTCTGAGATGCACTGACAGGCTGGGATGCTTCCTCATGAACCTCCTCATCACTTAATCTTTCTACTTTGACCCGGACATCTTCTTCTGTACCTAGAGGCAAGGTAGTTTTTGTGCTCTCGCAAGTCACATAATCAGCCATTCTTCTACCTGCCTCAGATGGGCCAGGCATTTCTAAAGTCCGGGTATTTTCTGCCTGCTTCCCTTTCTCAGGCTGAATCCTTCGATCAATTCCAAAAGGGAAAGTCCATGGAAAAGCTAAAGAAGAGTCAACTGGCTGATTTCTATTTTCTGCATAGGAAGCTGAAGAATTCAATACCTGGGGGGAACTTGTTTGTGTGCTACATTTTACAGGACTCTCAGGAGACATAACAATGTAGCTTTTGCGTTTTCTCCGGGATTCTCGGCAGACAGGAATGGTCCTTTCCATAACACTGCACTCTGAAGACACTGGAGAAATGCTCCCATCTCGAGAAGTAAAATTGCAGTTGGAACTATTTTCTTGTCCAGCATCTAGGCCCTTTTCTGGTTGACTATTAGGTGTATTCCACAAAATACTTGATTTCATGAACTCTGAGCAGGTACTAGCAACACTAAACATTTGCATATAGCTGGCTGCAGCTAGAACATCAATAATATTTTCCGTGTTAATTGACAGAGTGGCCGTGTAAGCGTATTCTAAAAGGGGTATAAAACCAGTCACTGTAACATGATGCAGATCCAACACATTTTTGTTCTCATCCTCTGTTTGTCCCACAAGTTTGGTTCGAAAGAAATCACTGCAAGCTGCTAGTACCACCTTGTGAGCTCGGAAGATTTTGTCCTGGACACGAATAGTGATATCACAAAAATGTCCATCATTTCGTAGCATATTTAGTTTTCCCAGCATTTCCTGGCTGTGGGAAGAGGAGCTGTGAGTAAATGTTTTCACACCCATCTTTTTTCCCCCTCTTCTATGGATGCTCTTCAAGGATGCAATGAATCAGAATTATCCTAAAAAACAAACAAACAAAACAAAACAAAAAACACAGAAAACAAAACATCAAATGACAGCTTAATAGTTGAAATGGACTATTTATGCCATTTTCTTGTAGTCACTGTGCCAAATAGCCTAAAATAAGAGAGAAAAACTTCAGGTATGGAACATATGAAAATATATTTTCTGGTCTGTTGTGGTATCAGATTCCTATAATCCTAATACTATGGAGGCTGAGGCAGGAGACGGCCCTGACAAGCTCAAGGACCACCTGTGCTATACAGTAAGTTTGAGGCCAGCTTGGGCAATAGGGTAAGATCCTTTGTCAAATAAATAAAATTAATAAACAAACAATAAAAATACATTCTCTAAACCATCAACCAGTGGTCTATAAATTACCATGTTAATGAGCGGCATTTTGTTGTTTTGCTTTTGTTTTTCAAGACAGGGTTTCTCTGTGCAGCCTTGCTTTGTAAAGTCTGGACTTGACCTCATGGCGACCGGCCTGCCTCCACTTCCCTGAGGGCTGGATTAAAAGTCATGCACCACTATGCCCTGCATGAACATTTTAAAACAGTTAAATGACAATTACAGAGTACTTTATGTGCCAGAAACTATTGTAAATATTTAGCACATGATAATCTTTTGACTGTCAAAGATACTTACTTTGACCAGTAAGTATATAATTATCCCTGCTACCACACAGCAAATAATGTCAGGCAAACATTATATAATAATTTTATCTCATGTTTTATTCAGATAAATGTATAGGGGAAAAAGGAGAGGGGGGAAAAAGAAAAGATTTCAAGATTTTTAAAAAGTCTTAATAATATGAGAGGAGACAAAACCGACATCATGATAAATGGTAACATGAAATGAATCCTGTGCTAAGAAGGTAAAGAGAGCTGATGCCATAGAAATAATGACCTTGACCAATTTGGAACCTGATCCAGGAACACTCATCCTGTTATACGGACTAAAGTGTTGCTTAGATCCTCCAAAGGAGAAGAAAGTCAGCAAGACCATTAAAGACAACAACCAGAGAAACCCTGTTCCACATACTATTAAATACAAGTAATTACAGGCAGACACAGTAGTACATGCCTGTAATCCTAGCATTTTGGAAGCAGTAGTATTAGGAAAATTACCACAAGTTCAAGGCCAGTCTGACCTACATGATAAGTTCCAGGCCTACTAGGGATATAGAGCAAGACTCTGTCTCAAAAAATTCAAAACAAAAACAATAACAAAAATCGTAAACACAAACTTAAAAAACAAACAAAAATCCAAAGTAATCACAAAGAGATAATACAGTTAGGATTGATCTAGGCAGAAAATAATTTAGTGGATTTGATAATTTTTCTCTCAACAAACAGGAAGGCTACATATAGAATATGTTGTTCACTGCTGTATGTCAGTAAAGTGGCCACTGCTTTTAAATCTGGGCCATCAAGAGTGACTGCTTTGATTTCAGTTATGTGGTTGAGAGCAGAAGCATGCCTTCAGAGCAAATGACATTCATGACCCAGGGACCATTTGCATGAACACACAGATATTGAAAAACAAGAAATTAAACATCATATTTGGGAAATGTGCAACAGAATGCTAAAATGAGACCACTTCAAACATGATTTTGGTGGAGACTCTGACACTGTTATCCATCTTCCAACTAAGTACAAGGTTACCTGCATGTGAAAAACTTTTCCAACCTGGTCTTACCCCCATCTTCCACAATCAAAGAGCTAGAAATTAGAAAAGGAATTTTGCCAATGATCAGTATGTTCTGTATTCCAAGCTCCATTCAATTCTTTTCTTATTTCCTAAAAGGACAAAATAGTGACTGTCCTCAACCACACAATCCCAATCACAGCCATCACTTTCGATGGCCTAACTTTAAAAGCAAATGCATGTTTTCTCTTTATCATACTTGGACATGATTCTAACTTAAAGAACAGCCAAGATGAGGAAATGCACCACTCTTTTCCAACAATACATAAAAACAAGAGTGCAGTGGTTAAAGGCATAGAACGGAACCAGAACACTGGATTGGCATCTTGATTATGTCATGCATATAGTGCTATGAACTTTAACCTTTCTACTTTAAGTTCTGCAGCAGTAAAACAGGGATAATAAAACCTATGTCACAGAGTTCTGAGGATAATCAAAAACATGTTTCAGATAGTAACTAGCAACAGAGAAATTCAGTAGTTGAAACAGTAGTAGTCTCTCTCCCAATCCTAGTCAAAAACTACAATTAACTCTCTGGGATCCTCCTGTTTCTGTGTCCTCAACTCTGAGATGACAGATCCTCATATTTGTACTAGTACTTTAGCACTGAGTTATCTCTTCAGTCTGTTTCTATCTTTTGATTAAGAATATGCTGTTATAGACCATCTCATACATGTTGTGTGTGGTCACAGGTTTTTAGTTTGTATAGATATATACAGACCCTCAAACAACTTCTGTCCATAACACACACTGCCTTTACCAGAGCTCTTATCCTGGAAAAAGTAAGACTTAACATCTGTACTGACTCCTAACATGTCTTCCATATCTTGCACTCACATGCAGCAATCTAGAGGAGGACTTTTAACTGAGGATGTCCAAACTCCAAGCCAGACTACAGTTATCTACTGCACAGCACACCAAGACTCCAGCATTAGAAACACTGCAAATAACAGGATGGCTTTAAAAAGAAAAAGGAAACCTGCCCTTTTCCCAGCCATGAGTCCTGGATAGCTATTCATATTCCTGAGTATGACTAAAAGAAATAGAGGAATCAATAGGGAAAGAAGCTAATAAAGAATGATTCTGGCTTTCCTTACAAGGAAGACATATCCTTCCTTCCACTCAACAAAGGGAACATTTATCAGACTACATAATACATAGGGTGTAAACCCCTTCACAATCTCTGTATTCCCTTTATCCATTTCTCAAACCAGGAATTAAATTATAAATCTTCAAATAAAAACTGTTCTATCTATCTGCACACCTGTCAGTGTTCAGGCTAACCTCCTCCTTACGCATTCTGTTAAGTAGATTCTTATCTGAACAGAATTGGCAAATACATTTCACTCATAACTAAATAAAACATGTTTATTCAATGTTATTGATACTTTTTGGTGCTGCCTATAAGTTTTTTCCACCCAAACAAAAAATGTTTCAGAAATCAACTAAGTATTCTTACAAGAGATAATCCACAGAACTGTCCTCTACCTAAAACTTCTCTCCAAAGTGATAAAGGTATGTAGCCTTTGTTTCCAAAATAATCCAACAAGTCTCACAAAGCTTTGTTTTATCAGCTTTATTCTCCACCCTGTGTATCACCCTCAGTCTTCAGGAAAAACTGAAATCTATTTTATCTTAAAAACACCTTATCAAATCATCTTTGCAGTTTCAACAAGAGGGGCCCCAAATCAATGCCTCTTTCTTCTCTCTCTCTCTCTCTCTCTCTCTTAAAAAAAAAAAAAGATTTAGAGACATTCTCAAGGCCTGTGCTGTCAGCTCGAGAGAACATAAAATCACTTAGGAGATGGGGCTTTGGGCATGCTTGTGGGAAAATGTTTTGGCCGCAGAGGTGAGAAGTCCCGATCATTGTGGGAGATGACATTCCCTGGTGGTTGGGACTGTACAAATAAATGAAGAAAGGACACTGGGCAACAGCATGTATACTCTTTGCTGTCTGACTCCTGATTGTGGGTGGTGTGTTACTAGCTGTTTCTAGCTCCTGCCCCCTTACCTTCTCTGTCATGATAGACGACACCCTTGAACTGTTAGCTAGAACAAACCCTTTGTCCCTTAAGTTGCTTTTGTAATAGTAGTTTGTCATAGTACCAGGAAAGGAAACAAAGATAACAAGCTTAATGCTTAAGCCTTTTCAAGTTATCTTACCACATGCTTATTCTCCTCAACACTGGTATACCAAACCCTAAGGAAACCACCTGCTTGATCTTCACAGCTTGATTCCTAGAAGCCTGATTAGGGTTCTAAGCTGGTCAACATTTCCTGACACCCTCCCCCTCATCTCACCCTAGATTTTAAAACCAAACCTGGAGATTATTTCTTCCTAAAGGACCTAAAAGAACAAACAAATTTTTTAACCAAGGGAAGGGTTATTTGAACCACTCTCACTGCAGCTAGGCTCGCAGGAGTTCTGTATCAGATCTATCTCAACTCAAGCTAACCTTTCATACCATACCAACCAATCTACAGGTGACCTGCTCCTCTTCAAAAAGATAAAATGCCCATGTGTCTGAAAGAACAGGGAAGGTTTTTAAATCCAAAGAGACTGCTTGGGCATTACTCTAAATACCTTAGTAGTTTGCCCACCTAGTAGCCTATTGAGAATGCCCTGACTCTAGCCTGGAACAAATATCTTCCAGGGAAGAAATTCTAAAAGTTAATTACAGAAATTAATTAAAAAATTAAAAAAGTTAATTCCAAGAAATTTAACCTTGTATTTAAAAACTACTGGGTGGGCTGAAGCATTGGTTCAGCCGTTATATTCACTGGCTGCTCTTCCAGAAGACTGGATTTGGTCACCAGCACCCATATGACAGCTCACATTTTCAGTAACTCCAGTCTGAGAGGATCAGCTGTCCTTTTCTGGCCTCCTGGCATGCATTTAGTGCACACACATACATGAAGGTAGTATGGCCACATGTATGAAATAACACAATAATAAAAAATAAAAACTGCTGTGACTATGGTGTTTAAAATTTAAACAATTCTTCATTTAGCTTTTCTTGTTCCTCTCCTAGATCAGTGTGTAAGAACCTCTATATTTCCATCTGGGTGTTAATTATTTCCTTTGCTTAGACTATGACTTTGAATATCTGGCCTGAACTTTTTTCATTCATTGTAGGATTTCCCGACCTTCCTTTGTTATCGTAACTTAATCCACTAGGTACTACAAAATTACCAAAAAAGAGTAAGAGCATGGTCTAAACACACACACACACACACACACACACACACACACACATACACCCTCTAGTTACAGATTGTTAGATTTGTG